CTATGCCAAATACCTAGGCAGCATTATAACAAACGACGGGAAATCAATTAAAGAAATCAGAAGCAGGATAGGTCAAGCAAAGAATACATTCCTCAAAAAGAGAAAATAATTACTAACATMAAAAAATATGAACRTAGTAACGAAGAAACGACTCATAAAAACATACATCTAGATCTAGAGTGTGGCAGTATACGGAAGTGAGACCTGGACAATTAATAAAAAAAAGATATGTTAGAAGCTTTTGAGATGTGGTGTAGGAGAAAAATGCAAAGAATATGCTGGATTGATAGAAGATCAAATGAAGACATCCTGATGACAATAGATGAAAAACGAACATTGATAGACATTTTAAAGAAAAGGAGATGGCAGATGATAGGACATAGGTTAAGGCATGGAAATGAACTGGCTGAACTGCATAGTATAATAATCAAAGGAATGATAGAGTGTACACGATCAAGAGGAAGACCTAGGACGAGATACATTTGTCAAATAATGCGAGATGCAAGAGTCACTTCCTACAGGGAACTTAAGAATATAGCGAATGATAGAGAAAAGTGGAGAAGTCATTTATTGTAAAACATTTTGTTAAAAACCAATCTCCKGATTGAAAAAAATAGGCTATGCAACATTATCACATGGTCATTAATCGAACAGTTATATGAGATTACAGTAGACTTATTTATATTATTATAATATAACATAACTTAACAAACGTTTCATTGTGAAAGTGAATGATCGCCTTTCTCTATTCAGCATTTAAGACCGCAACCTATTGCGTTGCGTGCAAACGCATGCATTAGTATGGCTTATCTATTCTAATATTAAGTATGAGAAACCTTATAGGTTCCATTAACATTTTTTTTTTAAATAAATATTTTAAAATAAATATTTTTTTAATCATTAAAACTTATCATATTATCATATTTCATGTCACTATGCGTTTCATCCAACACTGAGTAAATTGAATTATGTGTATAATATTAAATATAGCATCATAATATACCAATACTATAATACTAATATATTTACTTTATTTTATTTTTAACCTAACAGTATTAATATTTTACCATGATATATTACTAATTTAATATTAATAAGTTATTATATTAACTAATAAGTAACGTTGAAATGCTGTTTATTATATAATCGTCTTACTAGTGATTATAATATTTACTATTTCAAAATGCCATAGATTTTAAAAATGATAATTAGCTATTCTAATAATACATTCAAACATTTACCGTATTAGGATTATTATTAATATTTGTCATTGTTTTAAATTCGACTTTTAGGAACGAGTCTTTGAAAATAATATTAAAATATGGGGAGAAAAAAATCTTTTCGTGCACGGTTAATAAATGTTAACAAGGTGAAAATTAATTGGGTTTGGATTTATAACATTTAAGTCATTATGGTGAAATTATTAAAGATGATTTTACCGGGACAACTATTTTTTTTCTCCTTTCGCCTGGAAAAAGATAAAAGTTTAGTATAGTAGTGCACTGAAGATGAAAGAAGAGGCAATCAATCACTCCGGATGACAGCGAACTAGGTTTTGACTTGACTGTGGTGATTTTTTAACTCCCTTTACCATCGTTTTTTTCTCCTCGAAAAAGGATAATACTTGCATTGGAATTTTTTTAATTTATCGGTTTACTTTCCATTGTGATGAATCGAGATTGAAAATGATACAGAAAAGGGAATTGGATGTGATTTACCACCAACGGCTGCCTCGGAACTTCCCGTTATTTTTTTAGAATGCGATGGCCGACGAGCCAATCTTGTCTCATGTAGGACTATCACAATTGCATAATTTAAAAAATAATACGTGCAGCWACCAATATGATATTAAAAATTAATAAAACCTCCCTCTTTCACTTATCAAATGGAACCTTTTATCACTGTTYTATAGATATATTAGCTATACTAGCTGAACCCGTGCACTTCGTAGCCGTTAAAAATCCTACCAATTTTATATCTCAAATAGTGTGTTAAATTTGTTTCCTGTGATTATGCTAGAAGTATATTTTTATCCCAACAAAAATACTTCGTCAAACTCTGAGTAAACAATCGCTAAGTAAAAAAAAAACTTAATTAATTATTGTACKAATTTTAAGCACATTAAARTGTGATATCATAATAATGCTAAGTRAATTAAATTTGTAATACATTTATCCTATCTCAATAATTTATTTACCTGGCGAGAAATTATATTGTTAATTTATATACACTTATAGAAATTCATAATGGAGTCTAATTACTAAATTTAAAATAATAGAATGGACATTTTTATTTGTCGAAACGAGTTCTCGTCAAGTAAATAAATTATTGAGATAGAATAAATGTATTACGAATTCAATTAAATTTGCATTTTGTATGATATCACAACTTTAATGTGCTTAAAATTTGTACAGTAGTTTATATTAATTCATTTTAAGTTTTTTTTACTTGGCAATTTTGTAAATGGAATTTGATGAATTGTTTTTGTGTGGATAACAGTAGGTTTTTAGAACATACTTTTATTAACCTGCGTGTAATTCAATTTGTCGGTTTTTAATATTACTTCAACACTATAATTATTTCTTTCATATATTTGGTTGTTTTTCTAACTGTTTG